ATACCGGCCTTCATCCGCCCACCTTTATTTTACTGTCTTATTTATCTTCTCTGTAACACTAAAAAAAATACTTCTTTGGCACCGAAAAAGATTAGTGGGTCGTAATCGCAGACAGGCAGCCCCTACCCGTATCCCCTCCCTCACCCGCTCCGCCATTTCTCCACCACTCAAGAATAAATGTGAAAAATCATAAGACGAATGGGAAAACTTTATATTTTCCCAGCTGTGCTTATCGCGCGAAAATGACCCGGAATCCCTACCGACTTCTCGTAACGACTGGCTCGTATTCTCTCTCAGTGACAGTGGCGCTCCTGGTGGAACGTATATGTAGATATTATCGCCCGCGAGACTCCTGGTAGCGAAGGGACGGGTGAAACGCTATATCCCCGGTTATGGATATTTAACGGGTGTACATAACGGGGTTTGGTTTACTAGCGAGTCCCACTTGGGCGCTAGTCGAAGTTCCGTAGATGGCAAAGGAAGTGTCAGGAGCGTGAAATCGGGGGTGCCGAGGGGGGCAGGCGTTATAGCAAAGAAGATAGCCAAAGAGGGTGTACAAAGACGGTAAGAACGGAATTATATAAATCGCAGCAGCCAGCAAAGTGCCAGGGTCTGTTGTAAAGCTGAGAAAAGCACCAGGACTTGTTCTACCCTCGTGAAAGCGTAATAGGATCTCGCTGACGTCTTCCTGGGTGCACTAGGCAGCGGGAGCGGACTCGAAAGTCGGGTAGCCTGAGCCATAAAGATGAGACTTGGTACGAGTAAGTACAATGTAAGTAAAGGAGGGTTTGGCGAGAGTAAGAAATTTTACTCTTTGAGAGGATGAGGTCCGCCTGCCAGGAGACGCTTCGAGGAATGATTCTTCCTGTAGCGCCGGTTTGGGAAATGCTGCGTACTCGTTTCTCGGAGCGAAAATAAAAAAAGAAGAGAGCAGGACTGACGACGGGCTACCGGATAAAAATGGAGATCAGCTGCGACAACGTGTCCCTGGGGACGAGTGGCTTTACGGTGGTACCAGGAGAGATGGAAGGGAGCGAGCGAGAGGGAGATATGGTAAGCAGGAAAACGTCCGAGAAGACAGAAGTTCTTGCACAGCCGATACCAAGGATAGGCAAGATACGACAACCTGGCTATCTATTAAAGAGAGGATGGCAGGTGTGGGTCTCTTCTTGAGAATAACGCCCGTTATTTTTCTGTCACACGGTATACCGAATGTTTCCATTCAGAAAAGCTAACTATCCGTTTGCTCGCAATGGCGCACCACGGTACCACCATTTGTACAGTGCATTTAAATTGCCAGGAGGCCAGCTGGTGGAACTGAAACGTGGCGATCGTCTCCTGGGAAAATTCGTGTATTACTTGTCATATACTTTGTCGTTATGGTATAGAGAATTTACATGTTTCCCTATCATCTTCGTCGTAGAAACTTCCCGATCGACGGTGCGACTAATTGAATGGGACTTTACGTCGCGGTATTTACGGGAAGCTAGTTTACAGAGAACAAGTAATTGGACGGGTAGAATGAAATTTGTTTTTTTTTTTTTTTTTTTTGGTAAAAATATGCGCAGAGGATAACACCGGGTGTTCCAGTTTCCGACGAAGAGAAAGAGTACGGTGTTATCCTGAAGCAGAAATAGAAAGACGTAAAATAGAAAACAACGAGAGTCTCTTAGCTCGCCCTGGGGAGAAGCTATGGCATCTACTGCGTATAGTTGGCACAGAGCCGTTGGCTGGATTGCCATTTTTTTTTTTTCGATCCCTTACGTCGATCGTTGCCACCTACTCCAAAATTCTTGGGATTATAATACTTTAGAAAACCAGCCGAAATATAACGTCTAGAGTTATTCCTTCTTGGAGCAGCACTGATGGGTTCGATACACTGTGGTATCCCGGCAGGGTAAATGCCGGCGACGTCCCAAGGGATGAAGTCTCTCAATATGAGGAAGAGTAGAGATCCAGAAGAGGATGAGGACGCTCGCACAGGAATGTCTAGGAAGAGGAACCAGAAGAGGTTAACGTGAAAAAGAAGAAACTCACTCTAAGACAAACCATCAGGCTTCTCCTGGATGGGTTCTTGAGCGTCAGGATCCTTTTGTCTGTCAGATTTTTAAGAGCACCACTCAAGGCTCATCCCGACTCTCCTCGCCCCTTCCAATCCTCCCTGCGCCCTGTACACTGCTGTCCTCTGCTCTTCTTTATTTTAGCCTTCATAGTCTCCACAACACCCCGACGTCTCTTTGATCAAGTGCATGTATACACTTGGCATCCCTTCTGAAATTCTACAGGATGGAATTGGAGCAAGAAGGGTTCCTGGAGGCTGTTCCTTCAACATCGATGGGTCTACGGAAGATCCTTAATTCGCAATAAAAAAGAGTAAAACAGCTCGAGAATTTAGATAAGGATGTAATGACTCTGAAAGCAGACTGGCTTTGCCAATAAAGTTACCCAGTTCGGTATCGTTCTACGCTTCACCGGTATTGGACCACGTGAATTTATAATTTTCGAGTGGTAACTTCCTCCCATGAAGAGCAGTTAACCAAAGCTGAGCTGAAGTGGTAGAAGAGGAGCACACCGTCGCGACGCGACTGCGGCGGTGAGATAGCGCTGAAATACGGCCAGATAACCCGGGACGGGTGAGTCTGGCAAATATTAGAGGATCCAAGAATTCTTTCCACTCGAAGAGTACTTGTATATGAACTGAAGGGTAACGTTTATCCAGGATGAGACACGTACTTTCCAAGGGTACGTTTTAATTTAAAAAGTACTCCGTTAAAGGGCGCCTGGAGATAAAATTTTTTAAATTATACCTTAGACTAATTTCCTCCGGCTGTAAGGGAACCTGGTACGAGGTCCGCACGAATCTTTCATGAGTTCCTCGGAAAAGTTTAATTAAAAGGTTTCCGGCGAGAGAGTCTTTGTGTCATATATAAATTTTAATACTAAACATCAAAAATAAAATAGGTTATGGGCGACAAGCAAGACGGCCAAACGATGAGCGACATTATTTTCACTTTAAATCTTATCTTATTTATATACTTCCTGTTTGAAGTTTAAATCATTTCACAAGAGTAGATTATATCGCTATCAGGTACCAATTGCGTCTACGTGACATTTTGATGGTACCACGACACGTGTTTACATGGTGTATAAAAAGTGTATCAATTCCGTCGTCACTTACCTTGTTCTTTTTCCAGCAGTTTTCCTTGCGTCTTCTTCTCGGGTGCCTTGGGCGAACAGTTCTTGTGCGCAGATCGCACGGTCAAGGTTGGCGGTACCTGAAGACAGAAGAATCCGATTACAAGCAGTCGTGATGAAACAAAGTACCACTTGTAATCTTTAGACTCACCACCTTCTCAGATCTTTCTCCAGACGGTAGTCTTGCTATAGCTGCTTCAGGACTGTCTTCTGGTGGAGGCGGCTGAACTATCCAATTGTACTCCCTCTTTTCAACGGGCAATCCCCATCTCTCGTACTCTAGACTCTGAGTGCGTAGAGTCTCATAACAGTCAAGACACACCACGGCGAAGTCTCCATTCTCCAGGAGTAAACTCTTCTCAGGTTGTCGATGATACCTGAGGAACGGGAAGTCCTTGACGGGCAGGGCCCTTACCCGTTTCCTGTAGGTGGTGATGCCGCACACGTAGCAGCAATAATCGTGGGTGTCGTACTGTCTCTCAGCAGCGTTCACCTGCTGTCCACTGGAGAGGCTCTCATATCGTCGCCACTGGGCGAGTAGGGAGTGATAGCAAAAGGTGCAAACCAGGGCGGATCCATCCTCTCTGAGTTGTTCCGCATTCGGTGGTGACTGATGCCGTAACAGTTCAGGAAAAAATGGTGCGTTCCGTCCCTGTGGACGGCCGTAGAGGACTCTGGCCAGAGTGAGGTCACTGTGTAAACCGCAGAGGAAGCAGTAAATAGAGCTGCTGGAGGTTCCTGGATTACTACCGAAGGTACGGTCCGAGCTTGAACTCGGTGGTGTGGCTATGGAACGGCTAACGTCGCCGTTTGGATGTGGACTAGGAATATTGTACCTAAAACACGTAATGGATATTCATAATGTGGGGACCCTGTTATTCGCAGGGTATTGTCAGAATGATCCGTGATACCAACCTGCGACGTTCTAAAGGCATACGCTCAGCATCCATGTTTTCCCATTGCTGCGCTAAATGATTTACGCAGTGACTACAAGCAAGAACTCTTCCGTGGCTATCCATACAGGCATTTTCAGAAGTCCTGGCCATTCCTCTCAGACAGGGAAAATGCATTGCATGGGAGTTCATACCTTCAGGACTCGTCGAGAGCCTAAGGCAAATATACGATAAGTTATTAGTTCAGACTATCATCGATACGATCTTCATTAGTGCCTTAAATAATTATCAGACTCACCATTCCATGTGTGTACGAGGATATAGTCTCTCGCATATATAGCACCTGTAATTTTGTCCTAAAGCGACCGTACCATTTTCGGCAGGACCGTTACTTGGTGAATTTCGTTGACCCGGAGGCGGTGCTTTCACACCCGCATTACGTTGTTTACTAACAACTACCGTCGACTTGTTCAGGTCGTAAGGTTTAAACCGAATGTCACTCCCAGCCGAATTTGCTGGCGATTTAGCCACAGCAGGTCGTGGCGAGGGACCTGAAAATCGATTTTTGTTCTTAGCTTAATTTCGTATGTTATAATTATCGCACAATCTTTGGCAAGATTCTTACACAATTGTCTTCTGTATACAGAATGAAGTAACCACCTATAAAAATTCCGTATATACACTAATTTTAATACTGACCTTGCTGTCGAAAATCCATATTTTGCCCTGCAGGCTGAGCTTCGTGATTCTCCCCGCTGAAGACTTGCTGCTTCTGGGGTATGGCCTTGTAACAGATAGAGCAAACCTGTACCATGCCCTGGGGACTTATCGGACTGGCACCAGGAGGTGGTCTTAGAGAACAGATGAAGGGAAAATATGCCTCCTTCTCGGGATTGGGGCAGCAGTACAGCAGCCTAATACTGGACGATGGGTACTCTAGGGCGCAGGTGTAGCAAATGAAATTAGTAGTATCCATTGCAGGTGCCTGACGTTTACGAAGAGTATAATTCCGATCACCGTGTGGCACACCCTGACGTGTATAAGCTTTCCACTGGAGTAACAGGTGATTCTGACATGCGGAGCAGGCCTAAAAAATAAATTTATTAATGGCACACTGTCAACTTACTAAAAACTGAAGAGTATTCCAGATTTCTCATTTTCAAAATTATAAACTTTCTAATAAACCTACTTGCACACGACCAGCACTGTCCATTGGACGACTTCTGCTTGGTCTAGGATGTAACATTAGGGATGGGAAGAACGGCGGAGGACTGGAGGCAGGATGTGGTGGCGTTGGCAGTGGTTTCGCTGCTATGTGACTGAGTGATCCTCGCTTGAACTCATCTCCGCAGACATAACAGACTTCGGTAACAGAATTCTTGTCCGGCATCGAGAGATCCAGGATATCCGTCCCCACGCTGGACGTAGAGCCTCCACTATAGATGGCTGAAACAAGAAGAACAGTAAAGTTAATATCGTACCAAATGTGACTTAGAAGAGGCCGTGATATAAAGTCAAGAAGATAGCAACATGATAGTAAAAGACACAGAGATAGATAAACTGAAGAATCTCATAGAGGCCAAATAATAAAAAATATATATATAGACACACGTTCACGCTGGTGTTGATGACGGGAGTACAGAAGGAAGCGAACTAACTTACAAGCATGCGGAGAACGAAAAGTGCCGCGTAGCGGAAAACTTGTAAAATGTGCATTTTTTTTCTTAACTTAATGAAATAAGGCTGCAGCGATTAGTGCAGCGTTATCTGTGAAATTGTTAACCTCTACTTACTCATGTTTACATTAGCGAGCCGAAAGGGCTAAGGCCAACATAAACGCCGATGAGATTCGTTTATTTACGGCGAATACATACTAAAGTTGTGATAATCGGTCAACGTTAAAAAGCAGCTTTTACTTGAATCTGATAGATGCCACTATGTTATAATAGCGCGAGCACTCACGATTAGAGTTCTTCGACTGGACCATTTCGTCTTGAGATGTCGCGATGGCTTGCAGCAAACGGTCACGCAACTCTGCGACTATTTTTAAAAGTAGAAAAATTATCAGTAAGCGCGGTCGCACGATACTCCTACTAAGCGCAAGTCAAAGTGATTCGTGACTCTTTAAAAGCGGTAATCGCTGTCTCGGCGAAAGATTGCAATTGGAAATTCTTGGATAAGCAAGTAACCGCATATACTCCTACATATGACGGGGGAGTGATCTATTCCGATGTAGAAGACGAACAAGACATTCTTTGTACACAGTCATTGAAATTACGGCCAAAGCCGTCCGGCTGACCTCAGATAAAGATCCAATTAAACTCTTCGGGTCATCTTAATAATTAGGGATACTACGCATGGTCTTAACTTTTGCATTACTACGTATTCCTTGAGAAATCTCAGAATTTGATTCGACTGATGATATATTATCAAAAGCCTTCGCTGTCTTATCTACATGTGCTACAAGAATTCTCAATGCTTTCTTCGCTGTCATCTTGAGGGACAATATGTTTGACCATACGAATGATCATCAAAGTTGTTCGTAGGGCTAAGATCACTCATCGATGAGTTCGTAAATGACATTTGAGTTCCCTTATATAATTGAATCCGAGGAACACCAGTATTGAGCAGAGTCGAGATTATTGTTGTGCAATCACTTATATATACTGTATGTATATATAGTAACACGATTACCGGATAATTCTTTACGCTCTATATTTCTAATCTGAAATCCCAATAAACTTGGATGAGACCTCTCAAGCTTGACTATCATCCAGTCTGAAGATAAGTAGGAGAATGTCATTGATTTTGCAAAAGCAGAGGAAGATCTTCACACCGAGCGGCAGTACCAGGTTGACATTCATTACTAATGTCTGGCATAAACATAACTCTCGCATTACACGTATTTCCGCATGAAAATATCAAGCATCTGTATGTGAACAGCTGAGGATCTCGATGATCGATAATCCTAGTGGTATTCCTAATGTACACACGATTAATTGCAAAAAGAAGTGGGGCCCAAAAGTATTAAAATAATCTTACGTTGCAGTGTGCTCTTTTAACTCGCGTTTCCATTATTGAGTGAATAATATGCAAAATTAATTCCTCATTATCGTAATATAATTATTAAATCGTGATCATGACACCCTCTAACTTAATAAGATATTCGAATATCCAAACGTCAGTATCTATTACGCTCGATAAACATCTTGAAGACTGCACGCATAATAGGACGCATTACGAAATATTGGTTTACAGTTTAATAGCGTCGAAGTGTGATACGCGGAACAACATGGATAGAATCACCGTGTCTCCCATGGCATTGATTACAAATCGATTATCCGGCGCTTCCTCCTGTAATATCATCTTCGCAATGAGGACGCGGCATTTACAATTCAAAGTAAAAGTATGATGTAAAGCCACCTTTGGATATTGAATTTCTCGTCGGCGGTTCAGAGACAACCTTTACATTCCTTATAAAAACCCCACGAACGAAAGTCCGCTCGATATAAGAGAGAAAAAAAGAAAAAGTGAAAGAAAAAAAAGAGGTTAGAGCAAAAAGAAATAAAGAATATAGATGCATGAAGCTTAAAGAAACCCTGGTGAATCGTCGACACAGGGCACATCGAGAATCTTCACCTTGCGGTTGAGGAGGCAAACTGGACTGCGGAGCCGGTGAACTCCTCGGTGCGTGCCTTAAGTCCAGGGCGGCTTCGTTGGAAATTCTTGGCTCCTCGACGGGCTGCCGAGGACTCTGCAGTCTTTGATGAGGCGATTGCAATCTCTGATGCGGTGACTCCATAGTGAGTCTCGCCTGTTCAAGATGTCGAGATGGATCCGCGGTGTTGGAGTGCGGTCTTGGCAGCTCTACTGAGTTAGATGGCGGCCTTGTTTGCTCGACTCTAGGCGATGGCGAATTCGTTGGAAGTCTTGGCGAGATTCCCACTGAACGACTCTCCTGTCTAGGCTGTGGCGGCTGATCGTTTGTCAGTCCAAGTACCTGGGCGGCGTACTCACCCTGGAGAGCCATTTCGGCACCAGTGAATGGACCTCCGTCACATCTCTTTAGCCAATAGATTCGTTGACTATGAGGCCTCGCATCCCTTTCATAACTTTCCCATTGTTGCAGGAGGAGAGCATAACAGAGACTACACGCCTTGACGGCTCCACTTCTGATACCTTCACCCCTATAACCATTAGGCGGTTCGTGCGACTCCAGGAATGGGAAATAAGGCTCGTTCGGCGCTGCACCAGGACTCGGCTTGACGCGGAGCCAATAGTGCTCGCCGTGGCCGAGGGTGCCGCAGACGAAGCATATTCGTGGCCCTCCAACATCATCCGCTGTCAAAGGATTGGGCTGTGCATTCGCGAGCGATTGCCCTTCAAGTCCCGGCTCATTCTTCACGTACAACTTGCTTTCCATCATGTCAGGAAACCATCGGGTCTTCTAGCGACCCTCGTATATCTTCGGATTGTGTACGCACGCCGTACACGTAAATCACTAAGCGTAGATATTAAAGTAGATTCGTGGTGCTGCACGTATCTGAAAGAAGAAGATAAAATGAGAGTTTATTTTTCATGTTAGCACAAGTGTTACAAAGTGGAAAGTAAAGTAGATAATGTTTTTTGTAAAAGGGATACTACAATTCTTGACCAGATTTAACGGCTGTTCTTTAACAGTTTAAAGAACATTGGTAGAAAAATATGTGTTGCGTGTAGGAGTTAAAGATACTTAACACAAAAAAGGCATTGGGCAAAGAGTAGGGAGAGTGAGTAGGAGAGAAGTAAAGTCAACATTAGTATTCCAGATTAGCACTCGACATCTGATCAAACTGTGAGTCTAAAATTGACTTGGTCTCTCATGCACAATGAGGTATCGTAGTAAGCATCCCCGAAATAAGACAGACCTTGTAGGGTACAATTTCTTTAGTACTAGTAGTCTCAAGAGCACTATTTCAAAGAGTCTGAGTTGTCTTATTGTATGCAAATGAGTTTATTTGGGTGCAGCTGTGACCTCATTCTCTCAACGGTGGACGGAAAACGCGTGGCATTCCAATATGTCAAAACAAAACAGGATGCACAACGATGGTTCCTTGCAAAGTAAAAAGAAATTAATTTGCAAGGTGCCTATCGTAGCAAATATATAAGAAAAGCTAAAACTAAATGAATGATAACAAAATTTGATTAGAGATATATATTCGCAGTTAACCAGTCGATCATAACTTTTACAGTAAAACTAATCTTGATAGCATATTCAATGCAAAAGCGTAACAAATTGACAAAGAGTATTTAAACTAAATAAGACAGACTGACATTGATTAAATTCTTACAGAACAAATGAAAGGGAAATAAAGATTTATGAATATTTGTGTAGACTAAAAGCTGTGTCATTAAATGATACTACATTAATTCAAATTCTGACATTCTTAGGTGCCAGCTGTAAACTGTATCTCTGAATAACACTATGCACTGCGAATAGCTTGTACTTTCACCGACACCGGCCAAGAAGTACCTCTTCGGATATCGGCAACAATAGAAAAACTTAGCAAAAGCATAATAATTCCAAAAATTTCGAGCTAAGCTGGCATTTACATAAGAATCCAACGACGAATGGTGCCAAAGTAAGTTCACGCATACTGTCACGAAATTCATCGAGTCTTAAGCTAAAAGATCTTTCTCGAGAGGATAATCGTTGAAAGAAACGTAAAAGACATTGGATAAATATTTAAATAATGATCGAGGAATATAATTCTGCATAAGCTGGGCAAGACACACGATCATACAATGAGCCCGAGCACAATGGTGGCAGGTTTCGTCGAGGTGTCTGATCGAAATGAGTTTCGATCAGAGCCAAGCTGATACCCATGCCCAGAAGAAGTTGCTCAAACGTATTCGAAGGTCGAGGTTATCTAGCGAAGCTACAGCTAGGAATAAAATGAAGAAAGGAATACTAAGGGACTAGCACGATTATCTGAGCACACTGGCCGTGCTGCTTCCGAAATACGCGGAGCCACGAGCATCACGACTCGATCCGCTCGTAATTTTCACGGGACACTCACACTTTCACAGTTCGGCCTAGGCGGGCAGAGCATCGCTAAAACGTCGGGGCGAGTCGTAGAAGGCGACGCGCACCACACAGAAAGATCAGGGCTCCCTTATCTCGGATTCTAGTCTCTGCCATACGTGCTCGAGCACCACACGGAGTCGCGGGGTGTCACCTTCAGTGTGCCGTTGCGCACCGTCACATACATATTTACACGTGATACGCACCGTTCCGATCGGCCTGGAGACACTTTATACCGTCGCGCACGTTACAAAAGCGATACGGTGTCTCGAGCTACTACGAAATATACATTTTACGACGGCACGGCTCCACAACTTAGGCTCATTCCACCGCCATGTTGAAAAATTGCAATAGGCTTCCCATGATGCCACGCAGCTTCATCATATGACAGTCCGCTCCGCTAGCCAATCACAGTGTGCGACGCATGCGTGCGCATACCGGGGCGCTAATGGACTGCTGCTACGAGAAAAACCGCGTAAATTTCGAAAAGCATCATTGTAGTTTAAGACCTGGCGAGACCGGCGTCGATTTTTTGAACTGCACCTTCGAGTCCGACCGGTTGTTAAAGAAAAGGATACCGTGTGAACGTTTTTACTCAAAAGAATCGCTAAATCTACGATCATCGCCTGCCCCGTCTTGATCCTGTAGAACTATCGAAAGCAATAGAACTTTCGAGTAACTTGGTTTGACCAGTAGTTTTTGGACTTGCGCAACAATCAATGTATTCTTTATCCATGTACTATATTAATAATAATAAAACAAATACTATTTGCTATTTGTTTAAAAATAAAGCATTTTGCTCTTAACTTAAAATACAGGCCCATCAACGGTGCATGTCTAGAAACCTGACTATAAATCCGAACCGATTTAAATCTTGTCTAACAATACCGCCTTCGTAAAAAAATATTATTTTCAGAGAAGCATCTAGAAAATTCGAGGAAGTTCAGTTTTACGGGCGTCAGAAACTTCGTGAAGAATGTGTCAAGGCCAGAAGAAGATGAAATAGAACGGAGCCTATAGCCAGAGGGCAATATGGACGCTAAACATCAAAGTATAACCAACAAGTAGGTATTATTCACATTTTAAGAAGAACTAGCTTCGCGAAGGTGAAACACAAGAATGTAAAAAGAATTATTAATACCCGAAAATTCGTATAACCGACGCAAAGCCAGTCTTGGAAACAGGTTAGTCCCCTCCTTGCCCCGTGAACTAAAGGATCGAACACGCCAGGCATTTACCGACATTTGCTAACCGCCAAGCCTGAGAAAGGGTCCCTTCCGCAAACAAACTTTCAGCAAATATGCCAAAATCAAACGAAAACGCCGAGTTCCTTTGTCGTTACTAATTACAAGCGGATGTCAATCCCCGTCCATGTCGCATTAGGAAAATTATAAAATCCAATATATTCCCAATACATAATTTATGCAATGATAACCACGACGCCAAGTACCTTTGACGCAGATAAGAAATAAATATTACGTAGATAAATGAGAACTGAAGTATAATAAAGAACCAGTCTGAAATATAAACTACAAGTTAGCCCAATTACGTCACCATATTTGGCAGTTGTAAAAATCATAATACTTTCTCCAGAGTCGTGAACACATTTCTATCATAAGTAGGATCTGGTTTAATTATGAAGCAGACAATTAAACACTTACCCAATTTAAAATTCGCTTGAACAGTTCTCGGCGATGCAGTCATTCGTTATTTTTTTTTTCATATTTTTTCTTTGCTATTTAACACGTCACTCCGACAGATGCTGTCGCGCAGCGTCCAATAGACGTAATGATAAGGATAAAATTGGAGGCGTCGTTTTCGACATTTTTAAAGCATAACAAACATTTGTAAAACTGTATAGGTTAGATGCAGTCATGAAATAAATATACACTGATAACGAATAGTGGTTTCACGATATTTAATCATCACAATGCGGGACATGGTTATTCTACGTATTTATTTCGTGTAGGGTTGCATCGGTCTTGTCGTACAATATTTTTTAAATCGTTTTCACATTTTTCTTCGCTTTTATTTATACCACCATCAATGAGTGGGACCCTGATGTAATACTAAAAAATAATTGGAAATACTTTAAAAATACTCTTTGCAAACGATGATCCTGCGGACAAGGACTGCGCGCCCTCCGCTACTAACCTGTCACGTCTCTCCACCGTTCTTTATATTTAATTTTTATATCTTGTTCTTATTTTTTTCTTCTTCCATTGTCTCTCCTCGCTACTACTATATGGATTAAACGCTCCCTACGCGCTACGACGTCTCCAACGATCTCCTTACAATTTTATACAGAGACGTAATCACAAGAAGTTATTACATTATAATTATATTATAGTTATTCTTTTTGTTATTGAATAATAATTATGTTAATAATAATAACAATCGTTAACCGAAAAGACACGCAGCAGTAGTACAAAGATATTTCTTGTGGTTGGGGGAAGGGGGCTGGGTTTTAAGATTAAAGAATTCAGTCCACTGCTTTCGAAGAATCCTCACTAAATCTACCGTACTACGTGGTTAACGAAAGTTAAAAAAAAAACAGCGAATAAGGATAACGAAAAGTAAAAGAAACTCGTAGAAAAATTAAACGTAATGTTAACTCTATGTGCCATTATATCGTGAGCCGGTTATTCGGATAATCCTCGTGAGGATTACGTCCTACACAACTTCTCCGACAACAGTGGCCTGACACGGCATTGCATTGAAATGTTTCACTAACTTCGGATTTAACATTGCCAAACCATGACGTATATCCCTCATCGCGTTTACACGTGACTACGCGAATAATTTAGATGGCCCAAGATTGGAATAGAAATAAAAAGTGTACAAACAGGAAAGAAAATAAAGTAAGCACAGCAATTAAGCTTCGAGAAGTGATAAGAAGAAAAATAGAACGAGTAAAAACTTAAAGGATATTTAAGCCTCGCGAACAGTTTACGTGTAAACGCGAGTTTACGTCGGTCGGCTGTATCACTTTTTATGACTTATAAATAATTATTAACTAGGTGTACATTTGCATTGATGTATGACTATAACAATTGCCACGTATTTCGCTTATTCTCACAGTATTCATCCGTTTTTTCTTTTTTTTTTAAACTTATTTCTTGCTCCTCAAACAATTTCATCCCTTTCACTCTTTTCACTTTCTCACACATGTATTCTCTCTCTTTCTCTCTATTACACACACGCTCTTCATGTGTAGTAGAATGCTCGCTTGGATCTAAGAACAAGTTCTATTCTAGTATATCTAACGGTGGTAAAGGGTGCGGTAACAAGAAAGTGAATTCTGTTCTATTACTGACGTCCATTTTGCTGGCTGCTAACAGGATAAAAAAGCTGGTGAACCAAACGATACGCGTAATATATTTATCGATCCCAGAATCGGAAGACTTTTCACAATAAGGCTTAGCACTATTCGAAAACTGACTTCTTTTCTTGAAATCAATAAGAATCGATATCTTCTAAAGATTTTTTTTTTTTAATTTAACGGTATAAATGCCAATATATATATGTATATACATATATATATATATGTATATAATTTATTAGTGTGTTTATAATCATCTATGGCTCTGTTTTATTCTCCTTTTACTTGTATGTTATTATGTCTCGCTCGATAGATTATCGCTGGTACACCAGCTTAGTGCAAATCGGATTTAACATTTGGTGAACTTATGACTTTTGCTCGGTTTGAACCCTCCTGAGGTCACGGAGGTTATCGCAACTTCTAATGTACATATAAACAGATATTACGGTAATAACGCTTGCTATTTGTATAGGATACTTCAGCAAAAAAAAATTTTCCTAATAAGGTTATCCCGCGTGTCTCATTTTCTTTTCACCTTCATTCTTTTTCTCTCTCTCTCTCTTTTCATGTAATGCAAATCTTTGCATCCTCCCTGTTTACTGTAGCTCCAATGCCTCCTGTCGGGAGAGAACAGGAAATGCAAGAGGATAAATATCGAGTTTCCTACGAAACTGGTTGATAACAAGGAGAACGTAATTTTTATCTTGCACGACTCTATGGTACAAAGAGAAATTGAGACCCGTCGAGTAAACTACTGTACTGGTCATATGTTTAACCCTTATCACTCCAACCAGCAGTACTCCTGGAGTGATAAGGGTTTGACTGTACTAGAAATATGTTTATGGAAAAGAAAAAGAAATATAAAATGCAAGGATTGTCGTCGACAGTCAATGACTATTCGTTCTTTTTCTCTTTTGAGACTATCTCATAAAATCTTAATAAAGACGACGGTTTCCTATTACAAAATCATTTCATTTCTCATTTGCGCACGCAGAAGTCACGACAATACCATTTCATTGAAGGATCCTTTACAAAACAGGAATATTATGACAGTGGTTTTTCAAGTGGTACAGAGCTATGTGTTATGTATAGCGTATTCGAATGTTATAACAAATATACAAAGGGTCAGTTGTTTCGATAAAAGTTTCGACCCCTGCACTCTCGGGCAGCGTCTGAGTCAGAGTTAAACCGCAGACGAAGAAAAAGAAATAGAAGAACAAAAAGAATGAGAGAAAGAGAAGAATATCATAAAGAAAGATAGCAAAAGAGAGGGGGAGAGTGAGAGAAAAAAAGCGAATTTCCGTGAAACACGTAAGCAACACATTGGTCCATTTATCACTCGTAGAAAAGAAAGAGAAAGAGGATATGTGAAAAAAATAAAATAATAAACTGTCCCTTATGGACTATTTCAACTTTCATCCTTGTCAGCGACATAATTCCTATAAGTAAAACGCGGCACTTCGTACCATAAATTCCATTATTATTTCCTATATCGCGTCCTCATTTCTTTTGCCTCTCCCACTCTCCGCTTCGTTTTTCCATTTATTTTATTTCTACTTGCATACGCTTTACGCGAAAAATTCTTCTCCACGGTTAAAACTTTTAGCATCGAGTTACCGGCTAGAATGGACCGTGATGTCGTAAGTCGCATAGTCATCGCCAATAACCGTGACATTCCGGTTTAGCGGCATGGAGTTTTATTTCGACCTGACTGTCGTCCCAATTTCTTAACGAAAACTATAATTTTTATTTAGCTCGAAGCAGGAGGGAAAAATATAAAAGAAATTCCTTTGTTTCGACTACGAAAAGGTGTACCTGACATTCACAGCTAAAACGGATAGACGCAGGTTAAGATATAGTAAGAGAAAAATAACGAAAAGAAAAGAAAAAGAAAGAAATAAAGAAGAGGGTTACAGACAGATGAGAAAAAGAATAAGAAAAAATAATGGCCTATGTCACCGTTCGTTCGCGGATACCATTATCCTGAGGTCACTGCTTATACAATGAGAAGACATTTGGTTAGAATTAGTAGGCTTTAGGAAAAGCTACGCAATATCCGTGAAATATTATCCTCGGAAACGCGCGTTTAATACGTAATGCGTCCGGCGTCAAGCGACTTCAACATTGTAGGGTGCGCCTGTCATACGCATACGACATTATCACTCTCCACGTGCGCGTACAAAAAAGCTTGTCGAACATGAGCAATTAAATAGAAGTGAATCGTGACCAAATGAAACAAAATTTGTCAAAATAGTTTCCCATTAAAAATTAAAAAAGAAAAGTTGCTCTTATTTACATCGCGTTCAACGTTATTGTTACTGAAAAAAAAAAAATAAATGTCGCGGATAATACGACTGTCTCCATATTACACGAATACAAGGAATTCGATTCCCGAAGGAAAGCGTGATGTTTGAATCGCTCGGACACAAGCATGGCGATAATTAACTTTCTTGGGGGGGTAAATAATCAAGCGATAGGAAAATAATTGTAAATCGTTAATAACCTTCGCGGCAAATGAGAATTTCGCCATTTTTGTTTCATCCAATTCAAACATACGGCCTCTCGATACGACACGTGAAAATCCTGAAGATTCTATTAATGGCGCTGCACTGACGCTTCGCGCGGCGTTCTCAAATATTATTGTTGTTGTTATTCGTCTCATTTCCAGTGAGAATCCTTTCCGCGATACGTTCCGTTGTGGGCTTCCTGGTGGGTACGAAGGTGGTCTCCATCGCGTCGTTGGGGCTCTTCGGATTCTGCTTGTCCACGTGGGTCAATTCAATGGGCAGATAAATTGTCCGACAGTGACCTATGTCGGCTCTGCACAGAGGACATCTCTCGCATCTTCTGGCGCAGTCGAGGCAAGCCACAGCGTGTCCACAGGGAAATAGTGCAGTGTCCAGAGTGCGGTCCATGCATATACGACATAGCATAGCGTCCAGGAGTCTGGCCAGGCACTCCCGAGATTCCTACAAGAGAACGTGAGACAATAAGATCGTACATCTCAATAAATAAAGCTAATAAAGCAAATAATAATGAATTAACCAAAATACCTTGCATTTTCGATTTTGACAGTCATCACAGTCATGCCTGTCTACAATTTCATTTTCCACGGGTAATTCAATATTGGCTTCCTCGCAGTACAATGCTCTCCTTGCATTGTCGTATACCTCTCTGCAGGTCCTGCGAATATCGAAGACGTACTTCTTGCCCAGAGTGGAGTCCTCGTTGAATATAGAAATAATAGTTCCCTAGTGGGGAATTAAGGTCTACGGTTAGAAGTACTCAAGTTTCGCGATAACAAGTACGTTTATGGATTTCGAGATTATGCATTAAAAATATTCTACTACCTTAAGGTCGCGGATGAACTGCGCAGTGACGGCACTCCTCACAGTCTCGCAGCTATAAAAGGCATGTTTCTCCGTAATAGCTCGATATAATCCACTGGCAGACTGGCTGGAATCCAGTTTAAAATCTAAAGACGTTTCCTCGCCGTCCAGAGACAAATACACCAGGTGGAACATCCTCCGTTGGGAAGTGGCGCTTTGTATAGCTGTGTACGGTATGCTGAAAGATAAATGAATTATTTAGCTGCGAGCGATGCGAGAGGGAACTGCATTGCCGGAAGTCGAGAATCTGACTTTGATAGCAGTGAATTAGAAATGACACGTGCTGCCTCTACCGTGAGAATACAAAACGACCAAGCGATTCGACAACGTAGTCGTAAAATCACTGCCTTCTTTTTTATTTTTTTTTTCTCATAGACAGACGCAATTTGAACTATAGAAATTCTGACCAAGTGGAACCTCCACGAGGTTAGCATTGAGAATTCACTGACACTGCATAGTCAGAATCTCACGAACTGGGTCACCCATCATCCATTCGTTATCAGGATCGATCGATAACGTCTACTTCAGGTTAATTAAATCATTATCAGAATTAACTAACGTACTTCTGTGTCTCCTCGTCTTGTCCCCGATAAACCGTAATGCCGTGTGGACCAACACCGATCATCGAGACTCCATTATAGCCGAATTTACTGTGAAACATCTCTTGGCCAAACGTATCCAAGTTCGAGACTTCCTTCAGAAGCCAATATTCAGCAGTGGATGCCTTCATGCCCTGAAAATAAATTTATTCGTCATTGGTCCAAGTGCACAGTGACGTCATTAAAATCAGTCCTTCCCACAACTGTGTCTCTTTTGTGTATATCGCTAATAAGTAAATCAATCTAGAACTCGAGGTCGTAAACGCACCTTGATCTCCTTGTGCTGCTGCACTATACGATGTAGGAAATCCTGCGGTTTTGCCTCGCAAGGTTCTATCGGCTGTATCTGACAGCACTGTGAGTACAGTGCATGTGGGGGTAGTAAGGCATCGTAATCACCACCCTCGGCCTGAGCTATCAAAGCGACCAATCTCGCCACGGAGGACCAATCCGAAACCTTCAGTCTTCCCTCGACGAGTTCGAGACGGGAGTGCAGGTAGAATTGATGTCTGTAATTAAAGGAAAAAAAATTGTCAGACATTAACATTCATCATGACGGTCAGGTCGACATTGCGTGATTTAGATAAGGTACGGGACTGGTCATTTTTGAATAATTAAACGGTTTCCTGTATCTGCGTCAGACTACAGAAAAACAAATTTACGCTTGTATGGCGTTTACTGAATCTGCGCATAAATTTTGGTTGAACATGAAAACCAGTGTAAAGATACGTGTGAAGGACAATGTACTGTGTTGATATTTTTCTATAAACGGAGATATTTTTTTCTGAAATTCCTATGGGGATTTGATCTTGAGCAATATTGAGAGGGATATTGTTACGTAAGGTTGGTACCGTGTCCTATGTTATTATAACGAGTAGGTTTAGTCAGGGCTACCCTGAAGCAATAAACCTTAACGTCTCTGGACTCATTGATGTTTCATACCTTTGGCAAGCAATCTAGAAATACATAAGACCTTGCTGGAACGACCTGTAGGTAACTGGTCCATGGCGATATTAGAACGTCCTATAGGTATATACAGAGAATAGTATGTAAGTGCATATAGGTGGGTGCAATGCAGCGTAGTAATATCCATTCGTTGAGTTATAAGGGGGATACCAAGCACTACGTAAATTATGACTGGTATTAAGGTACGCTTTTACGGCTGGCTTTACCCTGGGATCATCGTATTATGGAATTAGTTTAAAAATTGAGCATTTGATAAATTCCGGTAATACCCATTTCCGGAAAGCTGGATCAAACTGTTTAATCGAATTTAATATTTATTGTTTCGAGCTAATCTATATATTTATTCGATAAACCGTAAGGACTGTCCGGCTGAAATGAACCTGTCACGTTTGACAGCTGTCAGATCAAAAATTTAAGGCGCTCGATAATATTTTATACAGGGTCCGATCTTTTGATATGAATGATAAATTGTCAGGGGGATCGCAAACGTTGAAATATATAACGCGATCAATCTCCAGTAGAGTGCGATGTCGCTTAATTGTCACACTGACAGAGCTCGACATGACGTGTTTGCGTAATTGCCAATATCCCCAAATACCATTATCCCAGATTCGCGAGAGATTCGCACGGATTTTCAGCCGTCTATCGAAAGTGTCAGCTGTAGCTATAACGTGATTCTCCGACTGACCGGAAGTGAATTATAAAATACGAGAAAATAAGTAAAAGGCCAGAATCGGGTAATTCAATCGGTAGTAAGTTCGAAATTTGGATTAAATTAAACTATAAAATGACATTTTTTTAAATAAAAAAAAAATTCCTCGATAACTTTTAATTTTGACTTAAACTTTTTTTTTCAGCTACCATTAAAATTCAATTCTACGAATGACACCTTCGTGGGACAGTCTCTTCTGAATCCGTTCGTACTAAAGAAAGTTTCACCTAGGATGGCTGAACTTGCTAAAGTCCCTGTGCTCTGTGTCAGCCACGCTAGAAAGTAGCTGCGGTACTTCTGAAACAACGAGTCCAACTCGTGGATGCTTAAGCAGCCTTTCGTCGGCCGGTATATCGGAGCCGGGGTTGCTGCCGGAGTAAGGTGAAACGGAAATAATTAAAGTCTAAAACAGTCCCATGGGGGACTCGGTGATATTCGTTGAGCAAAGTAAAATTAACAATGGCAGTTTAATAGCCGTAATCGTTGAAACTTCCATTGGGCTCCTTGAATTTGCCTATTATAAACTATAGTACGTTATAGGTTATAAAGTCCCATGGGTATAAGGCTTCTTCATTCATAAAACGACTACGACTTTCCACTTCCGGTCTGATGATCCTCGTTATTAACTCGCTCCATTGAATTGCAGAAATCACTGAGTCCACTTTCTTCCTTTACCGTAATGGGACCCCCCGTTGTACAGGATACTGAGTTATCTACGCTGAAAGAGAGAAAGAAAAAAAAATCCCTAAACACGTAGACCACTTGCGCACTCTGGTGGTGGGGATAAGGGTTAAACAGTGTTACCAGTTTCTGTACACTCTCACCCGCGGGAATAATCGACGACTTTACTCCCTTGTTGCATAATGTACTATTACAGTACAGCCTTTTCTTCGTCGACCTCAGGAGTTAATTAGAAAGCACGAAGAGCCGGTATGCGCATGCGCAAAAAAAAGGACTGACTAACTACCTGCCTCTGCGGAAGCTTTGTCGGTTGAGCCGAAACTTTTGGTTCGGTTAATTTTAGGGCGGTCGCCGACAACTAGACGATACGAGAGAGAAAGAAATAATCAAGTGGGAAAGAGAGAGCGAGTGAGAGGAAAGCATAACAAACGGTAGCGTCACATAAATAATACATTACGGGCGAAGTTGTCCTTTCGCTGGGAGTCGTTTTTGAAGTTGCGCACCTCATGGCCCAAACTCCCGCCTGTTAGGAGTTACGATGGCTGAGTCGGTAGACGGCAAATTAGTTTTGGCTCGGGTTATGCAATTGGTATGAAATGAACTCGCCGCTGCCCGTGCGTTCGGGCGACTTCAATATCGCGTAGTGGGAATGAAAAGCTGGATTGAAGGTTGACGTAGATAGTTTTGAGTAATTACTACAGGACGATAAATAGAATCGCAAAGGTCGATGAGCTACGATTTTTCATCCCTTCATCTGGTGAGCTTTCAAACGATTAATCATTGTTGCGGCGTAATTAATGGCTTCTACGAGGAAGCCAAAGCTTCTTGGCTACCATATGTATGTACGTGGATATGGAGTATACGGGGTTAGATACAGGCAGCTTATATTTATAGATGTGTATATATGTATATACATATATACATATATATGTATACATATCCAAAATGTGATTACGTGCACCGAGTATTATGTTGCAGTTTTCGTTCTTAGTGAACTCTTTAATTATTGTTTGTCTAATCCTCAAGTGCGAAACTTGTATGGAAAGGTAGAGACGAAAGACTGATGCCTTACCGGTAATTAATTAGGTGTTGAACCACGCTCTGGTCCGATGGCGCTGCGAGCGGTATGTAAGTACTAGAAGATCTTCGCTTCGAATATTACGTTTCCATCGTGCTGGATTTAAGTTGGATTAACCAATCATGTGCCATATTTGAGATGAATATTCGTTTATGGTTGCACGCGGTTGGTTTATCCAACTTAATTCCTGCATGATGGAAATATGGTGAAGTTAGGTGAATCCTTGCAGCATCTACTCGTATGTACAAAGTGGAGATGAGGGTTTGAGTAATTTGATTATTTAAATAATTAATCGTAATGTAATAGATGATTTAAGAATTACTCAAAATTATAAGGTAGGTGATTCGGTTGGTATATAGACATTTCTTGACACCAATGAATTGTGGGTAATTGATTTTTCATGCATAGTACTTTCCTCCAGATTTCTGCATGGAGAAACTGTAGCAAGTATTTCGTAAGCTTTGTGAATTTTTACGTTTCTGTTGAATGTTCGAATTTTATGGACGAGTTGGCCCGCGGCGTGATAATGGAATTTTAGAAGCAGCTTGAAGAATATAGCATTGCCTCGTGAAAGGGAGTAAAAGGGATAAAAATATAAAAAAAGAAGAGTGGGTTTACGAAAAAAAAAAAAAAAGAAAAAAAATCGTATTTTTTGAAAGAATAATTTCGTTATTTCTTCGAATAAAATTTACATATGAGAAAATTCAAATACGGGAGTATTCATGGGAAAATTCGCCCTTGCGAAATGCGCCAACAGAAATGCGAAAAATCGTCTGGCTACGGAGGACAGAAGTTGGGGGGATTCGCATCGAAGATGATCTGCGAATAAATCTCAGCGGCATTCACGGGCATATCTTAAAGTTGCGGGAAAGAAAGAAGAAAAAAAATGGTCCTGCGTGCTTTCGAATGAAGGAGCCCTTAACTCTCCAATAAACTTCGGAGAGTGGAAAGAGTTTCTAGCGACGATCTCGTGAGACTTCGAGAGTAACAAGGTAACAGGGTTATGTCGGTAAGGCAGATACCTAGAATAAAAGTCAGTGAGATTTGCGAGAAGAGCAGAGCACTACTGAGATGCGGAAAATGACATTTCGTATAATAAATAATCCTGACTGTAACACCCCTTATTTTCGAGCACCGATCCTTTGAAGTAATTATAAAAATTGTTAAATCTTAAAAAAAAATTAAAAAATTTTACTTTATCCCACCCCTTCAGGATTATCCGTTGAAAGCTTCACTTTATTTTTAAAGAGATTAACCGGTGTCTCCACTTACTCGTACCTCGACTGAAAATCGACAAACTATTTCTCAGGTACTTGGAAAGTTCCTTCGAGAAATTCTACTGGATCGACGAGGAGTTAACCTGAAACCAGGATAAATTGGAATACCAATTGTTCGAGCGTAGACAGTAGCAGATCGTCGGACTGTAGAAATTACTCATGAAACTTCAAGGCCGATTCACGATGAACTTTACCAGACACTCGCCGGGACCGCCGGGACTATTTGTCAAGTTGACCCGAACGTTAGTACAGTAACGTTAGGGTGGAATACACTGAACCTCGACTATTGTTTCACATCCTTCCAAGGATGAAACTTCTAATGGCACGACAATGGAGGAAAGCTCTCGGACGCGTCTTGCACCCCAAGTACAGAGAATACGAGGGGGATATATCCTTTACGTGTTCCTAAGAAGGATGGCAAGTAGCATCCCACAGTGAGTCGGTTCTCACGAGTCTTTTTGGATTTATTTACAGTTACGAGAAAGAGGGAAAAAAAAGAGGTCCAAAAGTAAAAGAAGAAGCACCCTGGCTTCTAAATCCTTAAGGAAGCAGGAAAACTTCATTGGATTAGTCGACTTAACCCCATTGCCAATTACTTTTCAAATTTCTCCCTGAGATTAGGGGACGTGATATTTATTCATTAGAAACAAAGAGAACACAAGAAATCCCCGCATAAGACTAAATAATGAATTTACATTGTCAAGGAGTATAAACAGAGAATTGGATAATCAGAATTTAAAAGGAGTATATACACAGATAGACAGGATATACGGAAAGACAGGAGCAGACCTACCG